TATGGTTTATCATATAAGGGGCAAAATTACTGAATTGTGATTGGTCAAGACAGAGGGCATTTTTTCTTAATTTTTGTAATTGCCCCGGGCAAAATTACTTGAAAATGATTGGCTGAAAATCGCTTAGCAACGGCTGCCAAGGTAAAGAAATTTCTGTTTGTTTTGTAACAATGGCGTCCCGTTTTGCGCGAGATCAGTAAGAAAACATTTTGCCCCTTATATTATAAACAAGTAATCACGTGGTTCCTCGTAAAATTAAGGATTAATATCACTTGTGTTTTCGGAAGTTGCAGAAATTGCCCTCGTCGCTGCGCGACTCGTGCAATTTCGGCAACTCCGAAAACACGCGTGATATTAATCCTTAATTTTATTCGGCCCTATGCGATTACCTTTACAAACCACAATTTATATCGGTTTGCCAGCGTAATAACCCACGGAAAATGTTGGGAGAACACTCGAAAAGTTTGTAGAGAACTCACCTCCGGCTTGTGATTTCACACTTTACAATTTTCCCCAAACATCCCACTCAGTTATTTTATAAAGTCAGATAGCCTAGAGCAGTAGTCTAAATATTATAAGAAACAGCCCATCTGATCTTTTTTATGTTTCTGAACCCTAACGCTGACTTGCGGAAAAAAAACCTTTCTTGCCTATCCGATAGCCACGAAAAAACTGTGGACTATCGACTTCCCTAGTACGAAACAAAATGATCCTTAAAAGTTACTTCAAATCGCGGCTATCGATCACTCCTCGCCAGTCTTTCCAAAAGAAGGTATAAAAAAAAAAAAAAAAATTCTCACACATGGCCATCAAAGCAATGGAGTACCATTATCTCGCCAAGGAAAGAGTCAAAGTGTTGGACAGGACACTTTAACCTAGCAGGGCATTTAATTTCTCTACTTAAGAATAAAAAATAATGGGTACATGTACAAGTGAACTCAAACCACAACACAAACATGTACACCTGTACCTGCATGAATCTCATACCTTTTTTGATAGCTCCACTGGATCATAGCCCAGAAGTGTTAGGAAATGTCTGCGAGGTTCTCTTTCAAAGTTTATCTGCATAGATAAAAAGATCATGGAATACTGATGAGTTATTAAAGGTTGTGTTGTGGTTTCTAATGATTCTGGTTTAACTCATTTCCCTGCTATTCTTTGTTTAAGGATTTTGTTGATGTATCTGGAAGAATAGGAAATACAGATCAAAATAGAGGACACCAATTTGACAAAAAATTGTTTACTCAGATAACAGATAAATGCCATGAGGTTCAGTGGAATGATCTTTTGGACTGAAAATTCCAAATTCACTTGCTCCATCAAGAAAGTGATTCAGACAAGATACAAACGATTTTGCACAGTGCTTAGATTGTCCCTGTTGTTTCAGCTCCCTCTGTAAATCTGTAGATCATTATGTCTTACTGTGAAAAATTTCCTTGATAATTTTCTAAGCAAAGTAATGGTACAGTGTTTTCTTTTTTTCTAAGCACAACATAGCAATTTTAGGCCGCAGTATAAGAGGTACTACAGGCAGAAAATTTTATCAGTTATTGTCTGAAAGGGATAATTACTATTCTGTCTTAAAAACTGTTCACCTTCAGGAAACTCCACAGTGTTCGCTCCAGCTCATGTGTACTGCTCTCCACCTTAGCACTACAGTACTGCATGAAACTTCCTGAAGCCAGTGCTCCCTCCAATTCATGGGACCTGCCTACTAGTTCCTGTTCTGTAGTAACCTGACTAATGTTGACCTAACAAACCAAACAATATTGTTGCTCATGATTAATTAACTCCGGAAACAAAAAAATTGCATGGCTTAGAGGAACATGCACTTGTTTCTGGGAGAGTAAACAAAACCTTTGTTGCTACAGGATGTTGTGCCCTAAAATCAATGATGTTCCATGCAGATTCTTTTCATCATGAGAAGAGAGTTACAATAACTATTACAACTCAAGCATTTCATAATAAGTTGAATAACACATGCATTTTGATTAGTTCTTAATAATAATTTATAACGGGACAGATATATAGATAATGACACCATTAGCGAAAATTTTGCTCTTTCATTACAAACATATTTCATGTTGCCATAGGTCTGTTCAGTAACATATCGCAGAAGACATTAGTGTTCAATCTACTCGTTAATTTCATCACACAACACTTGCAGTGTGTTGATTTTGTTGCTACTGTATTTTCTCGGTTATAAGGCACACTTGGTTATACTTGACGCACCCCAAACTTAGCAACTTAGTCAAGCCAAGTTCCCAAACTGAAAATTTCATGAAAATACTTGGTTATAAGACGTACCAAAAGGTTCAGAGTTTTAACAAAAGGTGTGATAGACCTGAGAAAGTTTTACAGTTGCTCTGGCAGTGAAAGCATTACAGGTAATTAATGGTAAAATACTCTCACCAAGTCACATTCAAAGGTGTTCGACAGCTGAATATCAACACACCACCGAGAATGCAAGTTTCAGTACAAGGCTGGATGGACGAAGAAGGTAGGTTTTATCTCTACATTGTTTATCCAGAGAAGGAACTTTTTTGAGAGAGTGACACAGACAGAATTCTAGGAATTTGAAACAAGGTTTGAATGATTGTTTTGTTGTTGTGGACATCATGTTATCGAGCACAAGCTGTTAAGAACTTATGCAAATTTATGTTTGTTTGCTTTTCTATAGAAGTTGATCAGTGTTCTAAAAGTAGTATTCCTTCTTAATTCATAGGAATAAAGGGTTGGATTCTACATGATATTCGCTACACCTCAGACCAAAAAGATCTGCTCATGTGGGATTCATTTTGTGGTCATTTGACGCAGGCCGTATAAGAAACAGTTCTTTCAGACCACCACAATGGCTCTTTTCAGAGCCACTCCAGTTCTTTTAAGAACCACCAGATCCAAAAAAGTTAATGACCAACAATTAGTGTCCTTTTCTTGTATTTTTAAAAATAAGTTCTGCTAAAATTGTGATCTTAAGATTTAGTTGCACAAAAATACTTGGCTATAAGACACACTATTTCAGCACTAACTTTCCACCCAAAGACAAAATTTTCTTGAAAAAACTGTGCACCTTATAACCAAAAAAATACAGCGTGTTTCCACTCATTCATCTAAATTGTGTTTGTAACATGATAACATAATTGGTTCTTTTTCCTTTGCCTTTATCATATCTCTGAATTTGCCCTTCATTATGGCTTCAAAAAATTAGGAACACAATGGTTCATAAAAACATGGTTGCTATTGTGGTCTCCATGATTTTTGACAAACCTGAGTGGATGGTGATTCTTTTGAATACCCAAAAGTTATCAGCTTTCCACCAAACTAAAAGAGAAAAACGAAGTTAAAAAAAGGACCATCTAAAACTTTTAATTTATAAGTTTTTACAGTTAAAGGTATACCCTACCTTTCACTGCATGTGTGCAGTGAAAAAAAATTAATGTTCTTTCTTCTACTGGATCGTAGTTGATAGTTACCTTACATACATTAATTTTAATACATCTTACACTCAGTTATATGCCAAATGGAGGCAACTCACAGCAAATGTGGCTCCACAAGGCCTACGTAGCCACTTTGGAGGTTTTTTTAACGGGGCACTGGTTGGTGCTGCTTTCTGTTGCTGCAATTGTTGTTGTTGTTGCTGAGCTTGATGGATTTGAGACATAAATGGGTCATCCGCATCAAAAGAACTCATTACCTAAAACACAAAAGTTTTTTTTTTTCGTTTTCAAGACAGAGTCCTTATTCCAAAGATTCAATGACAAGCAATTGTGGGTAAATGAAAGTGCTGACAAGGAGAGCTTGTTTGACAATCAAGGGATTCTTTAGTTGGCCATCATTGCCCTCAAGTCCCATAACCTTAATGTGTGATTGCTTGCTTGGTGCTTTCAGGAGGTGAACAGTTAGAGAGTGGTTTATTGTTGGCTGAGCGAGATAGTCAGTCAAGTCACTCGACTTGTAACTGACCTCAGTTTGATGGCACTCACTTTTTGTTGTTGAATATCTTGTCCAGAGGCACCTCCACCCATGAGAGAGAAGACACTGACGTGCCCATCAAAAGATGTGGTACACACCATAGCAGGATTCCTTGGACACCAAGAAACATCAAAACTCCACTGAGCTGTAGTTGGCAACTCATAAACAATCTAGAAGTAAACAACAGCTTTCGAGGTTCAGTCACATGCAGTGTAGATGCCAATAAACCAAATAATACAAAGTAAGGGGACTATGCAAAATATTATTACAATCCTTAATAATATTTTCAATAAAGATAATTATCATATGTACCTCTTCTCCTACGACTTGGGTATTAGGATTCCAACAAAGAATACGATTGTCCTAACACAGAGCAGCCAAAATATTATTGGTAAGTATAAACATGAACCTTTAAGTTAGATAGATTACATGGGAAGTACACATATTAATTCCAAAAAATTAATATTTCCTAACACAAATTGCAGAATAGTCACTATCCCAGGTTTCCATCTACTTCAAAGAAAAAAGTTAGCATTTTACCACAGTATTCAAAGAAACATCTTTCAAGACCTTTGATGTAAATTCAGAGGGTTCATTTATTAAAAATTATTTGAGATTAGTAGCACATAGGTACAATGTAAAATGCAACTGAAGGTGTAGTAACCATGATCACCACCATAACCAATAAAAGATTTCATCTATTTTCAAGTTTGGTAAGTTCAGAAGAGAGCATCAGAGTAATTTACCTTTGCACAACTCATGAGTAAGTCGGGATCTTGTGGGCACCAAGCTATTGACAGGATTCCCCTAATATCATACAATATTACCATCAACAACTGAAAAAACATGATCATATTATTCCAAGATAATTTGCAGTACAAGTGGGTTAGATAGTAGCGAATGAAACAGGTGACAAGAATACTCAAACTAATCAGGTAGTTTTTTTTCTTGATTTAACACCAGATTCTTGTAACTTATTCAAAAGAGAATGTGGAACAGCAAGAGGGGAGAGTTAACAATCAGATCTCCAGAGTAAAAGGGATAACCCAAACAAAGTACATGCAGGTGTGTACCTCTGATGTCCCTCAAGCACCTTCATGGGAGATGTAGCAAATCGAAGATCCCACATCTGCAAAAGGAAAACAGTGATTAACAAGATGTACACTGCTTGCAGATTGCTCACTTAAAACCTTAACCCTTTGCACCCTGACATCAGTATGCATATTCTCTCAACTGCTCTCCATACATTTCCTAGGATGCTGACAAGGAGAGTTTGTTTTGTTTATCAATAGCTTCTTCAGTTAGTGATCATTTTCCTTATTCTCGTGATCTTAATGAGTGATTCAAGAGTTGTATAGTAAGGAGAAATTACTTGCTAGTCACTCTTACCAATCAAAGGGTCAACGTGTGTGTAAAAATCATTATAAAAAAATGTGTTAGAATGTTACTGTTAGAATCAGAAATGTGAATACTGGAAATGATTCCAGAAGTTTACTATGTGAAGACACAGACAAAAATTAATATGAGATAACTGAAAGTCATCAGCAGTAACTACAATTTACGTAATTTAGGATTTTGTGGTTTGCTAACCTGTGCTAAGCTCTAAAGTACTTGGCAATGATGCTATAAACATTCCAGAAATATGTCAGTTGTTACAAATAACTTTCTACACATAACTTTTACAGACCTGAATAACTGGATATCTGTCATCTTCTGAAGCTAAAATCATCTGTGTCGCCACATCTGGATGCCATTCAACTGCTTTACATCGAATCTGCAACAGAACCATGTAGTTTACTCTTAAACAAAACTAAAAAAATACAAGTCCAGTAAAATCATCTCCATATGATCCTTTGCTACTCACTGTTGCACTCTGATCACTGACTTTAATAATTGGTTCATTCTTCCTCAGATCCCACACAACACAGCGGCCACAAGGAGAAGCTGAGGCCAAAATGTGCTGCACCTGTCTGTTCCATGCGACACAACTGATGTTATCAGGTGGTAAAGTCTTACTTCCTGGTGTAAGAGGGTTGCTAGGGTTTGTCAAATCCCAGATATAAATTTCAGAATCACTAGCTCCAGATGCCAATAGACTTGTCTTAAATGGGTTGAAGTCCAAAGCTTGCACAGGTCCTGGTTAAAACAAACACAGCATAAAAAAAAAAGCATTATCTTGCCAATGAGTATGCATCAAAATAAAAAAAAAAGATCATTTTACCTTGCAAAAGTTTTAGTACAGTACCTGTATGTTTAGTTGATTGAAAAACCATTGAGTCATCAGTATCTCCAGATAGAATCTTAGTTGGATCATAGATACTAATCACACCATTGTCACTTCCACCAATCAAAAGGCCTGACGATGAACTGGAAGATTCCATACCATGGGAGCCCCACACCAGTTTGTGGAACCTTCAAGGAGAAAAATTTAACTACTAAGTGATTTTCTACAGTACATGAAAGATAATAACATTGTAATGATACAATACTGCTTTACACCCTAACCAGTGACAGTAAGCAAGCAAATACTGCAAGATTTCTAAAGAACGCATGAATGCATGCTCTAAGTAATCCCTTTCCAGAGTAGTAATCTTTTTTCAAAGCACTACAGATAGTGAGGACTACAGAACTGGAATTTCTTTAATTTATAATTATGCAATTTATTAATTTTTTTTTTTCACCTGTCAATAAGATGCCAACCCTTTCACTTCCAAGATCTCATTGATACTGGTAATTCTCCTCACTATCTACCATACTATTCTTATGACGCTAGTTTAGAGAATTTGGTATTAGGTCAACTATTAATCCCCTGATTGATACAAGTATTTTTCTTTACTCTCATCCCTCGGCCGTCTGGTTGATATTGTAAGGAGAAGTTCTGTCTTGGTCACTCATGGGAGTTCAAGGGTTAAGAAACTTTGATTCCAGCCTGAAACCATGGCAACTTCCATATAGATTCAGTTTAAAGTATGGTCATTTTTGTAAGAAGATGGTAGCAGTGTCAAATAAAATGAGACCATTGTCTGCATCTAAGTATAAAATAACCCAGGACATCAAATTTAAAGTATTGGCCTGGGAATTCTCCAATCCCTGAAGTCTCATAAACATAAAGGTTTAATGGATTAGACTGAAAAGCCATGGTATCAGTGAAGGTACAAAATACAATGCTGAAACACCTTTTAGACCTTCAACTGCATAAGAGCTCACCTTTGTTCTGATGCCACGGTTCCTTTGAGTGGCATTTCTCTGTCACTACTTGACAAGTCAAGGGCAAATATCTCAAGTGCAGCATTGGTGCTAAAACAGGGTAAATTACAAACATGTGTAAGAATTTCCCTAAAGGTAGAGTTTCTCACATTTTCTAACAACTCCCATGGGTTGAACAAAGATGCAAATCCTGCTCCACTGACATTCCTTGAGTTATTCCTTACAGGAATGAAAATATTTGGATTTGGAGTCAGAGATCGATACCCTTGCCAAGAAAGACCCATAATCACATGAAAAAAAACTTTGTACTCTTTATTCCATATTCTTTATTTCATTCTTTACTTTCAAATTTTTCCTGATCCTTTTTTTCATCTTTCACTTTTCAAATACAGCTGATAAATTTTTATAACACAAAAATAAGGCAAATGACTTGCAAGACATGATAACGGTACTATGTTAGAAACATATGTTAGAAATAGTTTTATCGTTAAGTCATGTTTTAATACAAACACGGTATGAATTAATCTTAGATCTTGTAGGTGGCTTTTCCAACTTAATAGTACTTTATTTTATAGCATTATTATATATTTAGTAATTTATATTATTCACAATTCAATGGTACGCAATTCAGCCCTTGGCTGCTATGTATTGCTTTTCAATAAAATCTCTCTGTCTATGTAAATCTATCTATCTATCTTGTTTGAAAATTAAACTCTCTGTTCTTTTTCCTTTTGTTTAATAGTACTACTCTTTGATTTTCCCAATCTTCAGCAAAGAACATGCTAACAGGTAGAAAGCTGTCCTAACATCAATTTTAGTTGGGATACAAATTATGGTATATACCTGAATGTAGCATCAAGCTGCTGGGCAGCCGTTCCTGCTGCTAAGTAGATTGGGTATTGGGGTGCAGGACTCCATGCAATATTTGCTGTTCTGTTAACGTCTTTGACTTTCATTTTACCTACAATGATGGAGGTGTAACGTCATCAATTAACAAATTTTGGGGTCCAACATTTTAAAATAAACGATGTAATGATACCCAAATCTGCAATGCTCTTGCAAGTAACAACAAAATTATTTTGTTGCTGAAATAGATGACAAAATTTATATCACAAGATCTACCTAGCATACTTGCCAAAACTGACATGTTTGGGCAATAGTTTACAATGGCTACTAGTACACAGAAATGTACATAATGGTCTAATTAGGCCCCATAATTCATTAAATTCTTGACAACGCTGGCAAAGAATTTCACAGCTAACATTACTATGAACTAGATGGCCCAATCTCCCCAGTTCTACTTCAACATCATAACTTATTGAAACAAAAGAAATTGAGAACAAACTTCTTCAAAACCTGGCCTTGATTGGGTCCAAGTATATTGATAGTAATGGATGTGAAGAAACAAAAGCATATCACCTGTCTTTGTACACAACAATTATTTAGAAAAATTAATAACAGAAAATGATACAAAACTAGTGGACTTTTCATCTGTTTATATGGTATCGATAACGAACAAAGTTTACCCTGAACAAAATATTAAAATCCTCCTCCCCAAACCCGATCATATATTAAATCATATTAAATATTCGCACTGGATTCGTTGATTATTGACAATATCCCACACCAGAAACCCAACCGGTCCCTGTGAGAAAAATTAATGTATTTTTTTCTGTAGAGTTATTTACAATTTAAAACGCTAGATGTTTTCACAACGCTAAGATTGGCTTTAAAAGTAATTTTTAGGCTCCATCGATCGCTTCAAATTTTTGTTTCACTCAAGAGGTGAGCTTGCTTAACTTTCCTATGCTACCACAAATAAAAGTTAACCATGATTACAGATGTTCTGGGCCAGGCGATTGATGTAAAAATTTATACCAACGGAGCTCGCATTTATCTCCAGATACACATCTCCATAAAACACAAGCCTAATAATTCACCAACAGATCTCGAAAAAAACCCTCCCTAAAAATCATCCCCCCTGGAGAAATCCCAACAGATCTACCCTCATCCGAGAAAAGATTGATGAATTTACGGTACACTTCTCTGAGACACCCTACCTCTTTCCTCGAGCTTGTCGTACCAGTATTTTCTCTCATAAACCAGGAATGAAGCAGCAGTATTTGAAGATGTCAAACTGAAACAACGTAGTAATTGTAGGAGAGAATTCTGCTATTGTGGATTACCATACGTGTTATGAAGGGCTATACTCCACACTCGGCAACGTGGCAAATATTTTGCGGCGTAGCCTCGCTTTCAAAACGGACAATGGTCAGTTGTTGCCAGTTCTAGACTAAAAGCTGTCAAATAAGATGACGCACTGTGTGATCAACATTTAGAAGCGAGCGTGCCGCAGATGCCAAACAACTTACGCAGTGAAAATGAAGCCAGATCGAAAATCTGCGGTCAGACAGGTTCACCGATTTGACTAAAACTTTGCATGTAAACTTGGTTCGGGGTTCTAATCGCGAAATGGATATTTTAAGATTGAAATATATTTTGCCTAGGAAATCACTACGTCGCTCAGAGCCATTTGGAGTAGACCTTTACAGATTATGCTAGTAAAAGTAGCATGTTTTTTGGCGAAATTATGCTAAAATTATGCTCTTTTTTCTAAATTATGCCCCGTTTTTTAAAATTATGCCCCTTTTTTTAAAATTATGCACTTTGAAAAAATTGCAAGTAAGTCCAAAAAATACATTTTTTAATTAGAAGCCGTTGGTCTACAAGAAAGAAACGCAACAAATCCACAATGAAATTCAAATAAACATGTGGTTCATGTTAACATGCACACTAGTACTAGACTATAAACGGCCTACAATGTGACTTCCGGTTCCGGTGCACCCTAGACCCGGGCTCAGACCATTCAGACGCTGCTCAGTGATTCGCAGTGGACTACAAATGCTACAACTTGAACTACAACTTAAAACATCGAATAACGTCACCAAGTGCTTGGGAGTAAAGATGAACAATGATCAAATTGTAGCATCAAAACTGATCCGATAATTATTAAAATATGCGGATTATGCTAGCATTGCTATTTGGCAGAAATTATGCCAGTTTGCTCAAATTATGCCAAAAACTATGCTAGCATAATCTATAAAGGCCTAATTTGGAGCCCCTCCGGAACATGGAAGCGAAGCTGATCAAGAGCAACTTTTCAATGTCTGGGCTTCCTTTGCATTCTCATTTTTGTATCTGTTTTTATTGTAAAACAAATCTGCAACTCTTTTACTGTGTTTTGAATAGTAAAGTTTGTAGCAAAATATAAAGGGAGGGGTTGAAAAGCGTCATTCAAGTCACTCAGTTTTAGGTTTTTTAAGATCCTTGAAAAATATCGTTAGTTCAGAAGCTTGTAGCACTGTTGATATGCCGAGTTAGAAGAATTTGTGAGTTTCTAAAGCAACATCTGTCATAGGTTACTTGCTGTAGAAAATTCAGATCGACTTCCAGCGATGAGAGACAACCAACCTCGATCCTAGGGCCTTTTCCCTTAGTAGGGGGTGAGAATCACCGCAGAGTCTGCAAAACGGATTTCTCGGAGAAATCTTTGTCTAAGTTGGCATACTTTCCGCCATTTTGACTTCGGAATCATGCGTACATTATTTTCAAAAGGCAAACTTTTACATAAATTATCTAAATCAATCAACCAATCAAAGTCCCGATGTGACTGACCGATGCCAGGGCCTTTTCCCGCCCCACCCTGTACCCCTAACTAAGGGAAGATGCCCTGGGAACGAGGTTGAGAGACAACGCCTCATACCGAGTCTGGCGTCTGTCTAATCCAGTTGTCTTTATACGCTTTTCTTTTATAAATTTTCAGGTCACCCAGTTGCTCATGCACTTATTGGCCAATTTGTATGAATCTCAGTTATCTAAGTTCTGCAAGCTTGCATTCATTTAATCGGTCCTCCATCTGGATGTACAGTTCCCGAGAGTGAAAAGCTCGACGGGTTTGATATGGTATATTTGATATATACCCGCAATTCCTCTATTCGCTCCGACGAAGGGCTAACGCTCGAAACGTCAGCTTTTGTAATCGTTACGGTGGCCAATTTACCATTTCAACTTTGTTGATATATCCAAATAATTTTGATATGGGAGGCTACTTCTAAGAGCCTCTTAGGACAGAACCCGAGAAACAGCGGCAGTTAAAGAAGGGAACAAACCAGGAAAATGTGAAAGCCTTGCAGTTGATCCGTAACTGTTAATCAACTAAACCTTATGATCTCTTGATTAACCTCAGTCAAGCGAATAGCTGAGTCATGCAAATGTTTCTCAACATTCCAGGGTGAAACAATAAAGGGTGTTACTATTTGGGATTTTAAAATGTGGCCATTGGCCGTATTCGCCATCATTACTAATCATTCGCCATTACAAGCATCTTTCATCTTTATTACATAACGGTGAATTATGCCTGATAACAGTAAATGATGTTATGGGCCTGGTTATGATTGGTGAAGACGGTGAACATTGTCTAATGACAATAAATGACAATAAATGATGGCGAACAATTTGCGGCGACGAAGAGTGATCTCTACTGACGGTAAATGCTGCCGAACTAACTGACTAACTAACGAAAATACCTGATTTTTGGAGTAGAAACCTAGGCTCGCTTCTCTTCGTTAACGTCATAAGTGGTTTGCGAAAGTAAGAATGTGAACTCAACGAGCAAACAGACAGACAAGAATTCGATTGTTTATTAAATAATTCTATCCCTTTCATTTAGTAGGGTGACGGATAAAATTTAACTTGCGCCTTTAAAAGTATCACAAAAATTCGAGAATGATCTTTACCGACTGGGATAAAAAGTGAATATACATTATGTAATTTTAATAAATATCAACGAGGTTTAAAATACGTGGTATAATTCTTAGCCAAATATATACGACGGAGAGAAAATTTGAACCCTAAAAATCCCAGAAATAAATGATTTTTTTTTTTTTTTGTGATTACTGAAAGAAAACCTGTGCAAGTCTCTTTTAAAATCCACACTCTCTGGGTGTAAGTTTCACGATATCAGTCAATATTAATCTTCTGCCTTCTGCCTTAAAACGCTTCCAGTGACCAGCATCTAATTTCCTCTTACGTTAATATTGGTGAATCACACATTGAGATCATGAGTATCGAGTAAATGATTACCAGCACAAGAAGCTTTGATTGTTATACAAATTCTCCTTGTGAGCACCTAAGGAAATGTCTAGAGAACAGTATGGAGAATATGCATACTGATGTTAAAGTGTGAAGGGTTAACCAGCCTCATCCATTCTTAGTTACATCAACTTACCCTTTTGTGGTGTTTGTCAACCACTGTAAACTGTCATTTGAAAGTTTCCTTCTGATGAGCAAAATTTCTCAGCGAACCAAAAAGGAGAAACGAAAAAAGGCATAATAATATCATGCATCAAATAGTTCTCAAATTCATCGGCATAATCAAATTGGTGCTCTCTACCACTACTAACGAGACACTCAAATAAATTGGAATGAAAGTGAAAAATCTACGATACAGGCCCAATTCTGTTGGTCCAATGCTGTCGATAGGAGAAAGATCCTCCAAAGACTCTTTGGAGAGAAAATATGAAATATGGGACAGGTATGATTACAGAGAAAGAGCACTCGAACTACCCCGCTTTTCCCCGCCATTTTTACACTTTTAACTTTTCTCTTATCTTCTTTCTCTTTTGATGTTCTATTAAAGTTCAACCTTTAACTTACAATACTTAAACATAGCTCCTGGAGCGACCGGAAAGCTGCTAACTCTTGATTACAAAACTAAAATACATTTATATTATCAAACATGAATCCTCCTAGATGCTTCCAACATGGTTATATAGTTTCAATTTAGCGGGAAGGTCCTCTCCAAACAGCACCGGGTCAGCTCTGAACTCGACCGTCTGTAGCGGCATTACGCCATAAGCTCGGACAAACTCGTTCAAACATTCTGATCGCTCCACGAAATGGCTCGGATCGGCCCACAGTGATTCAGTCACACATTCCGGACAGCGGAAACGCTTTCTGGGGGTTACCTATGCATGTGAGAGTCTCTAATTAATCCAAAATTTTAAAGCTAAAGACTCGGAGTTTTATGATAAATAACTATTTGAGAAACTGTATTAGCATTGGAATGAAAAGGTATTTAAGCAAATTCTCTTAATACAAAATAAACACGAGAATTCTTTAATTAATATCAGAAATCAGCAAACTCACGTAAGAATGGCTCACGTAGGGATGGAGAAAACAAGAGGAGAAATGGGACAACGAGCAACTGCAAGCTGCTACAAGAGACATGTTAGAGCTCCACCAGAAGATAAGATGTCCAAAAAAATTTGAAATAGTTGATCCCAGCAGTATACGAGACGAATGTGACACAAGTATCTCACAATTCAGATAAAATAAACACACAGTTAACACAACATATCCCCTCCCCTCCCCCCTTTCCTATGGTGTAGAGACGGTGCGATCTCTGGTCATCCTCGATTATTTTAGCAACCAACAACTCTCTTCCAAGGTGCGTGGTAGAACATCTTTACTGCGGATATCGTTTCGAATCCTCACTGTCCTGCCCCAAGACAACAGAATTTAAGATTTTTGAGAATGAAATTACAACATACCTTAATCGGTGCTTTGCCAGTGTAGTTGGAGACCATAAAGTTCATAGCAATGTCTTCACAATTCATGTGCTTGTCAACCCAGTCTCGTATATAGACAGGCATCATGTAGGTGAACAGATGGCTAAAGTACTGCGCGATAAAAAGAGTAGAATTAGATAAAGGTATAACAATAATAATAATACTAATAATGATAAGAAACTGTGATACTGCGACGGTGAGGGATTAATTCGGTTTTATCAACTGAGTTGGTATTGTAATTAGATAAAGGTATAACAATAATAATAATACTAATAATGATAAGAAACTGTGATACTGCGACGGTGAGGGATTAATTCGGTTTTATCAACTGAGTTGGTATTGTAAATTGGCCACCGGAAAGAGTTTCTAAGCTGACGTTGGGAGCGTAAGCCCTTCGTCAGAGCGAAGTGCAACCAAGGANCAGAAAATTTCTAAAATCATAACATTTTAGTAACATTTATTAACTTTTATTTTAACATTTTATATAAACTGCGTGGAGCGGTTTATATAGCGTCATATAAGGAACCGCTCGACCAATCAGATTGCTGGAAACTATTTGCCCAGCTCTGAAATTATACTAATGTAATTTATAAAGATTTATGAAGCTAGCCAGTGCTGCTGAAGAGCACAAACTTTCTTGGTACTCAACTTGAAATTCCTTTTTGATTACTGGTATGTCATTGTGTTTTGTTACACGTTTGTATGAGTTTCTCTTTTGATCTCAAAATCTTCTCAAAATTTTGTACATCAAGGATTTAAATCCATGGTCTGCATTTGAGTGCAATTTGGATTTTACTAGTCACTGCATGCTGTGTTTGAGGTTAATCTTTGCAAGAAAATTTTTTAGTGTAGCATCATTGTGTGATTCACTGTCAGTATCAGTTTAGTGGATGGAGTGTACCTGATTAAATTTTGTGCCTTTTGTTAAAGGGGAGCAGTTCATGTGGTGGAGAAAGAGATCAATCGCATCCCTGCTATTTTAAGAGAGATCTCATCCAGTCAAATTGAAGACATGAGGAGACAGGTACCATTTACAGCAATTTACTAACTAAAGGCTGAATCTCAGAACCCTCAAGAAGTCTCCTAATTCCTTGCTCCCTCACAATTTCAATGATGGAAAACAATTCATTGGTCGAACTAAATGGCTTGTTGGTGAGACCAAAGCATTTTTCCCATGTAGCTATGATTCTGTGTGTCTTTCAGCAAGACACACAGAATCATAGCTGCAGAGCATGAACAAGGGATAGTATGCTGTGTGCATGTACACTAGGGCATGGGAAAAAAAAGCTCTTCAATGAAAAAATTACAATGCTAATATGCCTGAGAAATATTGGATCATCTTTTCAAAAGAAAAATCGAGTTTCCAGATGGGATTTGAACCCACAACCCTCCGTGATCTAGTCGGATGCTCTAACCACTGAGCTACAGGAGACTCTATGGTGAGCAAGGGTCAATTAGTGGGTATTGACTGGAACCGCATCACGCGGCTACACAGCCAAACATCAGCTTTAATGTGACAGCGTGATGATGTTAGTGAGCTTCTATGCGCTAGCTGATGTTTGGCTGTGTAGCCGCGTGATGCGGTTCTAGTCAATACCCACTAATTGATCCTTGCTCACCATAGAGTCTCCTGTAGCTCAGTGGTTAGAGCATCCGACTAGATCACGGAGGGTTGTGGGTTCAAATCCCATCTGGAAACTCGATTTTTCTTTTGAAAAGATGATCCAATATTTCTCAGGCATATTAGCATTGTAATTTTTTCATTGAAGAGCTTTTTTTTCCCATGCCCTAGTGTACATGCACACAGCATACTATCCCTTGTTCATGCTCTGCAGCTATGATTCTGTGTGTCTTGCTGAAAGACACACAGAATCATAGCTACATGGGAAAAATGCTTTGGTCTCACCAACAAGCCATTTAGTTCGACCAATGAATTGTTTTCCATCATTGAAATTGTGAGGGAGCAAGGAATTAGGAGACTTCTTGAGGGTTCTGAGATTCAGCCTTTAGTTAGTAAATTGCTGTAAATGGTACCTGTCTCCTCATGTCTTCAATTTGACTGGATGAGATCTCTCTTAAAATAGCAGGGATGCGATTGATCTCTTTCTCCACCACATGAACTGCTCCCCTTTAACAAAAGGCACAAAATTTAATCAGGTACACTCCATCCACTAAACTGATACTGACAGTGAATCACACAATGATGCTACACTAAAAAATTTTCTTGCAAAGATTAACCTCAAACACAGCATGCAGTGACTAGTAAAATCCAAATTGCACTCAAATGCAGACCATGGATTTAAATCCTTGATGTACAAAATTTTGAGAAGATTTTGAGATCAAAAGAGAAACTCATACAAACGTGTAACAAAACACAATGACATACCAGTAATCAAAAAGGAATTTCAAGTTGAGTACCAAGAAAGTTTGTGCTCTTCAGCAGCACTGGCTAGCTTCATAAATCTTTATAAATTACATTAGTATAATTTCAGAGCTGGGCAAATAGTTTCCAGCAATCTGATTGGTCGAGCGGTTCCTTATATGACGCTATATAAACCGCTCCACGCAGTTTATATAAAATGTTAAAATAAAAGTTAATAAATGTTACTAAAATGTTATGATTTTAGAAATTTTCTGTTGTTCAGCTCTGAAATTATAAACAATTATTCGCCTCAGGTTCGGTGAATATTGTCAAATAATCCCCTCGACTTCGTCTCGGGGATATTCACGATATTCACCTTGCCTTTGGCGAATAATTGTTAATTACAATATTTCGTTGTTCATCTACAGTGACCAATATTCTGAGCATGATCACCTGAATAACTAACAGTTATTCAGCAAAGTGAAGGTAAATGTCCACCACATTCTCTGATACAGAGGTGAATAATAACACACAGAAACCAAAGAGTACCGTTAGTTTATTTCTGTCACACATACCAAAACAAGTCAGAAATTTAACTCTTAACATGCAATTTTGTCTCTTTTGCTGCTAGAAAATAGTAATAGTACAGTAAAAATCCACCAAGTTGAACTTAATTGACTCAAACCCTTGGGTAACATGAACAAGATCCAACTTCCCTTGTCACCCCATGTTTTCAGTCATTTACTACCTGCTAACTTGAATCATTTATTTTTCTGTTGGTGTTCAAATTAATGTGGTTCTATTGTACTTACTAATCACCTCTGAGCAAGGCAATTAGCATGTACAAAACACTCTAATTTTCACTTGAGTTGAATTATTATTACTAATTACAATAATGAGCAGAAGCAATTGAGCTGCATTGCAAAACTTATAGATATATTTTAAATTTTCCTTTTCAGACACTACAGGTACTTTTCAATTACCTTTTCCAATCTAACACATCAGAGAATGGTAAAATGTAGTCATCCCCTATGACAACTGGAATGCAGCCCTAAAGAAAAGGCACACACCCAACATAAGACATGGCACACACTCTCCATTTTAGGTGGTAACTGATAAAATTTACTGCCTGTAATACCCCTAAAAATATAACTGCTTAAAATAACTTGGAATTCTTGAAAATGTAACAGGTAAAGAGGTTGCTCTTTTCTTTTATCTGTCCTGCTTAAAGTAAAGGATAACACTGGGCATGTATTTTTTACCTAAATTTCACCAAAACACATAGGAGAAGGGTTGCAAAAACAATTTTAGTTAGTTAGACTAGCTAAAAGTTTAGAGAAAATGTTGTTGTTGCCTTCTTCTTTGCAGACAAAACTGATTTTTCTGATTTTCTGAACCCAGTCTGTCAATGAAAGCAAATTCCAAGTGGTTAATACTACCCTGTATAATTTAAAGAGATTTTGGTCTAAGGTGTCCGATTATCCAAATTTTGTTAAGTAACCAAGCATATCTAACTTGACTAATGCATAATAAATGATCATGCTTCAAAAAACTAACACCAAAAGATTACATTTCAAAACCTGTCTGAAAAAGTTTAAAAAAGTCAATTAATTCAAATTAGTTTGATGGTCTTTTTTTTTTTTTTTTAAGACATTCCTTGCTCCAACACTTGATATACTTTTCATAAATAAACACTCGATATTCATCCAAACATTGATAAAGCCTACCATCATCAAAGCATCCAGCAGAGTTGTTTGGCCCAATCTGACGCCTCGAATTACCAGACAGAAGGTAGCATGCTAAAATAAGCAGAGTTAGGCAATAAGTTAGTCATTCAAGTAGTTTACAAGGATTTAAATCAATATACTTGTTTCTTTTCCCTTCTACAGAACACTAAAGATAAATGAGACTACAAAGCATTAATAATTGAAAATGTAATAAAACTATGGGACCAGCAAATGGATAATGGGGGCAAGTTCCTATAGAAACTGTGATGCTAAATTAGTGGAGGGGAATATGAAAATAATTCGGTTTTATCAACTGAGTTAATAATGTAAATTATTGTACATTCTCTTATCTCATACCTACAGACAATAGATTTTATATATGTAGAAGAGATGTCATACCTACAGACAACAGTTTTATGTGCTCTTGTCTTGCTCAGGAAGATGCATAAAACAATTATTGGATTTGGTTTTTGCATGAAAGCGATAATTATCAAGGCCTCAGTTTGTGTTATTTGCCTCAGCCTTTGGCTTCGGCAGATAACACAAACTTTGGCCTTGATAATTATCGCTATCATGCTCAACCTCATCCAATAATTGTTGACTAGTAATCATGTAGAGTTTCTAAAGGTAACATTTCAAGATTACCCCCTCATCAGGGCAACAATGGCACCAGTAGATTGATAGAAGTAAAAACTAACTTGTAAAATGTCTGGATACTGATAAGTCTCTGAGCCTTTGCATCTCTTGTGCACATTGTTAGGATCACGAGGGCAGTGGTTTAGGATCAAGAAACGTGAATTATCTCTTTCAACCTCTTCCAGCTGGCTTCTGAAGAGATGGTTCATATTTGTTTGTGATGACACAAACAACCAATCACTTGACCTGCAAAAAAAAAATCATCCAAATGAGGAGGCCGCGTGGCCGAGTGGTCAGGGTGCTGGGCTTGTAATCCGGTGTCCGGGGTTCAAGTCCACCACCCTGCCACTCACTGGATTTGTTCTCGGTTGCCCCTAGTTCAACTCCTCGGCAGCACTCTGTACATAGCCCACTGGTCTGCCTCTTGCCAGTGGGGATTTTTAAGCACTTACTTAGTTTACACTGTGGCTGAAAAGCCCCTAAGGGGAAGCTTCAATTTATGTATTCATTACTATTATTATTATTATTTAAATATATAAAAATTCCTCTAAATATCAAATTACAATAAAGTTTGCTAATAACTGAAGGTTAATAATTTGTAACCTTTGAGATTTGATGCAATTTACTTTAAGCCTTCTTACAAATAAAGATAGGTATTACCTGAAGGCTACTGGTAAAAAAATGACAAAAGCTTTCCTGAACAAAGAACAAAATTGTCAAGGAAAACACAAAGAAGGGAAAAGTGCTACTGCTTGGTATCTCTACTCACAGGGCCCAAAAATTAGACTGAGCCCGAGATTCCTCTGTTTGCTGTCAACAGTATTAAACAAGACCTGATATATCATTGTAAGGTATCCAATAAGTCGCCCACTGACCAATCCACCTACATCAACTGGCCCACCAAGCTTAGCATATTTATCTGTTACAGAACCTGAGTGATTGTGCATTGATCAAGGACTGATACCTTGGAGGGTGAACAAAGACATTTTTTGACAAATAAAATGTATGCCTTGCTATTGGTATAAATATAAGATTGGGCTGAAGTTGAGCCTTCCAAGAACCTGCTTTGCATTCATACACCACTGATTCACTGTAGATTAATTGAGTTTACTTCTATAGGCTCTAGGAAGCACTGAAAAACAATTATCCTAACAAAATTATGAGCTTTAACAATCAGCATGTGAGTGAGACACTAGCATCTTAAGTTAATAAATTATGGCAATTCAGGCACCACATAGCACTTTAAAGAACCTAGGATTGTGCAATATTCGTTCGTGTAAGGGTTTAAGCTATCAATTGAAATTTCACTTTTCAAGATTACAAAAGCAGCTCGCTCACCTTTAAACTTAAAGATGGTAATCAAGAAAGTGTGATAAGTCGTTACTGTTACGTTAATTGTTGATTTGTTTTGTTTTGTTTTTTTTTCATGAATCACTGACCTTTTCTGTGGTAGGACAACTTTTTTATTTGTGAGCGGATTGAAAACAGGAATGCTAACATCATATCCTATCCTGTAGCTCCAAGTTGCAAAGCCAGCCCCAGCCAAGATAGCTTTATCAGTTGCAACATCTAATGTTGAATTGTATTCAGGTGCACTACCAGGCAGCATGTTAAATAACAAATGATTTTTTCCTCTATCACTCCAACTAAAAATTTTATATCAAAAAAAGTAAGAAAAAGTCAGTCCTTTAGATCTAGATTGACAAATAAAAGAAGAATAGGCATTCCCCTTGGATATAATAGATTAAAAAAAGGTGAAAAAAATAACTGATAATATATCATTCTTTTAAGAAATTGGCTCTGACTTTCTGTCTTCCTCTGCACTTTTAATGCTTAATTGTCAGAAATAAGAACATGATGTGGTTTCTCTAACCTTAATAATCATAGCAGCAATTGTAGAATTCAATTACATGTTGACATAGCATATTTGTCTGCACTATATATAGTACAGTATAAAGTCATTTTTCTTGCCATACTTGCCAGTTATTTTTCATTTTCTTCCCTATTGGGGTTTTCAAAAGCCCTCAGTGCCCCCTTACGGTGATAAGACTAAAACCTTTCCTTGAAAGATGGTTGTACATCTCAGTACATCTGTACACATTGGCAAAGAAAAATTGACTGGGACTACTGGAGTGAAAACTTGCTGGTGAAAATATTACTATAAACTAAGCAGATTACATCGAGGTTTCCTTGTCAAGGGACTAGCAACAATAACAAATATGGTCCTTGAATGGAGACCTTTCCAAGACGTTTCAATCAGTTTATTGTTATGCATGTAATTATCACTTTTCTTTATCATAGTCTTAACTCCACCAAGTCAAAGTTGTCAATTAGAAAGTTCTCGAGGAAATCATGCTTTATATTATTAGGTACTGTGAATGAGAATCAAACCTCACCTTGGTAACTCCGCAAGACTTCTGGCTGTCCATCTAAGATCGAGACCTTTCTGATTCAAGGTATCAATTGAAGGAATTATAATACAAGCCTTTTTGATATCGGGAGTGTAGTATTTACTCTCTTCAATAGTTGACAGGAGTTCATAGAATTCTCGCGACATTGGTTTGTTGATTGCTTTTCCATCTTCGTCCAAGAAGCGAGTGTATGGATATACATAGACGGACATCAGTTTGTTTTCGTTGACTTTGCATTGAAAAATGTCAAAGCAATTGTGCATCAAACATTTAGAATCTCGCTTGTCGGGAAGCGGCGATCCAATCCTCAAACGAATTTCGGAAACATCTTTGTCTACCAAAGGGGAATTCACTTCAGATTCATCGTCAGCGAAAAGAAGCGGCCAAAGTTCCAAAGAGAAGAAGATAAACAGTAGAGAACAGAGAATTCCAACCAGAATAACGCTTCTTGTATGCATTCTCATGTCGAGATTAGTTGTACAATTGTTCACAGTAACAAAGTAACTATGGCCTTTATGTAGCAAAATTTTCAGTACACCGTATCATGCCTACGTGGCGGTTGCCCTCGATTTCCCACAATAATAATAATACAAGTTATTCACTTTTTTCTTCTTGTACATTCCAATAACCTATTTCAGTTACATATTTAGGATACCGACGTCATTTTCCTTGTCTACGCTTCAGCCGCGACAACCGAGAAAAGAAAGAGTTGAAAGGAATATCGATCAGTCCTTATGAGGGTTACACAGAGCTATATCCATAAACGTGTTACCGCTGACTAAAAGAACGATGCTGTTTTCTACTCCCATGATTCTATTCGAGGGGCAAACAGGAAAACAAACTATATTATATTTGTTGGCGAGCGAGAGCGAGCTGGCTTACGTTTATTAACGCGAAAATTTTTCCGAAGATGTGGATCCAAGTCCTCGCATTATCCTGTAAGTCTTTGTTGGTATTTTAGTATCGCCTCAGAAAAAAATTCGCTTCCGCAATGTCGTAGATACAACTAAGTTAGTTCCATCATTTCAGTCACAAGGTTTCCTTTCCTTTTCAGCGGAGTAATGTTGGTAGACGTTTTTACTTCAGTTTAACAGTTTAACACAGATTAAGAGATTTTTCGTTGCGGAAGAGAAAATTCGCTGAGAAAATTTATTACTATTGCGCGTTTCTCGTTGGGTTCGATTTTCATCAAACGAGTTCGCCAGATGACTTCATGTTGGTATATTTATAGTTGTTTTCGGCACAGAAGGCCGGCACGATCGTTTGCCATTGGCTCGAGTACGTGGGGTGAATTCTCGTTTGACTGATCTCTTTGTCTTTTTATAACTTTTCGGTCATTTTTTGAGTGTGTTATGTAGCTTCGTCATGCTCATGTTTGATTAAAAGTAAAGATCCGCGAGATAGAGTTCGGTCGTGTTCGGCAAATTTATGCCTGTACATATTAATTATTGTTTCTGATCACAACACTGTCTCTGACGCAAATCGCGTCTTTGTTTGACGATGATTTTGGTTAAAATTTGTGCTTATTTCAACTGTGCGGTCAATGTTACCGTAACACATTTGTAATCTTTAGATGTGATGTCTGTCATATGCCTAAACCAGTTTTCTCTTTTATCTTTTAACTCTTTGGCATAAGTGCGGCAAGGAATAACCTACTACATTATTTATAACTCTTGGAAGCTACTGAAAACAACGTTTATTTGTATGAAAGGTTGCAGTAGGCAGTAATCTCCTAATATTAACTACTATGAAATAATTATCTGAAAATGCTAAAATATTCAGGCACCGTGATCCCAAGAACATAAATTTACATTGGGTGCGTTATTTAGTTTAAATCCTTCATTACTTCATGTAGTTATTTTTGGTAAGGTCAGCAAGTCTAACTTGTCTTAGAACTGAAGAAAACCTAGCTTTTAGTTTGATATTGGCATTGCTTGCTAAAACTGTAACAAGTATGTTGTGGCAGGGATGATGAAAACTGGTCTAATGGATGAGTGATTACAATTTTTTTCACTCTGCTGAGTCACTATGTGATATTGGCAAGACTCAATTGGTGTAGCAGTGCAATTTCTGTTGCAGTTAGAAAAAATAGGTCTGCAATGCGTGCATGCACGGCTTACAAAACTGAGCTAGTTTTTAGTGTCTGGTGTCTTACTGAGTTTCTATTAGAAGAGCTGATATCTGATTACAGTCAGATAGTTTTCAATATTGTTCTGGTTCATTGATGAAACAAGATAACTAGCATACAATAGTCCTGAAATGTTCATTTTCAAGATGAGGGTTAATGGCCAAACTTTATAATTGAGGTCTCATTTTGACAACAAACACCCCAAGGATGTACATGTAAGCTGAGGATTTAGGAACTAAAAGAAACGTCAACATCATCTCCCATGGTGGCCTTGACAACCAACCTACAACTTCAGAACTCAATTCCACTTCATTATATATACACAAAATCATGACTGAATCTATCAGTAGTAAAGTAAAGTTTATTGACAGTGTTACCACAGAGTGGTTCTTCATCTGTCACTATCTAAATACATTATAGCATCAACTAAAACCTATTTAATATTTACAATTATAAATTTAAAATAGCTAAACATTCCAGTCTGTATACACTTTAAACTTAAACTGATTTAAAGTTACTAAAGGCATGCCTTTGCCCAGTGTTTTAAGTATTTAAATAAACTCGTGCAAAATGTTGCTGACTTTAACAACTCTCTCAGTAACATAGCCAGCTGGTCTTATACATCAAATCTTTCCCTTAATCTGGTGAAAACCAAACAGATGGTGCTATTGACAAATCAACTGGCTGGAGTCAACGATCTTAAACATCAGATCACACAATTGGAAATCTCAAATTGCCAGTTGGAAAGAGTGAGTGAAACAAAGTTACTGGGAGTAAAACTTCAAGAGAATTTGAAGTGGAATGATCTTGTCAAGGATGTGGCAAATACCTCTTATGGAGTCTTACACACACTTCGTAAGTTGAAACACCGTACAGACTTCAACCTAAGAAAGAGACTTGCAGAATTACTTGTGTTTTCAAGACTTGACTATTGTGACTCTGTCTTTTCACCTCTGCCGCGATACTTGCTGAAGGGCCTTAAAAAAATTGAGTTTGCTGCTGCAAGTTTTGTTTATGGCAGATATCTTAATAACATTGGAGACATTTTAAAGCTAAATTGGCTTCTTGTGGAAGAAAGGAGGGTTTTTAATTTGCTGAAGTTGACCTTTAAAGTGCTTTATTTTAAACAGTGGCCAACATATCCGAACTTACAGCAAGTCCCTATATGTAGAGAGCTGCGCTCATCAGACTGTATTAGACTTCAGGTTCCTTTAGAAAAGGGGACGTTTCAAGGCACCTTGGCTGTTTTATTTAATAATCTACCAAAGTAACTGAAAACCTGTGATGACTTGCATATTTTTGCATCCCGTTTATTTAAATTCTTAAAAAACCGGGCAAAGGCACGCCTTTAGTAATTTTAAATCAGTTTCAGGTTTAAGTGTATACAGACTGAAATGTTTAGTGGAAACACTGTCAATAAACTTTACTTTACTACTGATAGATTCAGTCATGAATTTGTGTATATATAACCAAGTGGAATTGAGTTCTGAAGTTGTAGGTTGGTTTTCTTTTCCAAGGCAAGTGATCCCTGGTGAAAATCCTGTTCAGGATCCTGTCCAAGATCTTGATAGGATCCTTACTAGGATCCTACCTGAAATCCTATTCAGGATCTTGTACAAGATCCTGTAGGATCCTGTAGGATCTTGTACAAGATCCTATAGGATCCTGTAGGATCTTGTACAAGATCCTGTAGGATCCTGTAGGATCCTATAGGATCTTGCACAAGATCCT